TTTCAGAGAAAGTGACTATTATGGTTAATGTGAATTTTACTCATTATAATACTTACATGGAAGAAATAACTCTTAAATTGTAAGCCTAATTAAATCTGAACCCAGTCATATTTTTGAGAGTGGTAAGAGTCATCTCTAGTCATTGTTAAGGGTTTCTCATCTTCCAAATCACAAAGTCCTCCACATTCTTATGTACATCTCAGGATGGGCATGGAGGCCTCTTCTTAGCTTTAATCCACATTGGTCTTGACTGATGTGCCCAGTATCCCAGCCTACATAAATGCCCTGGAGGCACACAGCTCTGCTTGTATGACAAACATAGGAGATCCTAGCTGTGGCCCAGTTCCATAGGTCTAGATATCAGCCTCCCTGTGTGGGGACACCACAAATCATTTCCCTCAGAGGGCCTCTTACCACCCCAGAGGCTGCCCAGCTTTTGCTATTCCTGGGAATGTTTCTCCTTCCCCATTCCCTCCTCAACCTAGACAATTGTCCTTTCTTCTCTCCTGGCAGCTTTTCTGTTTTACCATACTCTTGACCATCTTCCCCAAAGCCACTAGCCTTTCTTCCCAATGCCTACTCTTCTGGGGGTTACTACAGTGCCTCATTTTCCTCTGAGTGTTCTTAGAACAAGGATGGGAATACTAAGCAAGACCAGAGTACATATTAATAGCTCAGTGATTATCCCTCCCACCCCATCAAAATGAGCAAAAAACTTTTTCAGCATGAGAAATGTATATCACCATGTGTCTAATATATATAAGAAGTGAATCTTTATCATCCTTGAATAAAGGTATATCATGGACATTATTATTAACAAAGAGCAAAAATAGGCGATTCTAAATACTGAAAGAAGATGAATGGATGAAAAAATGCTATTTATATGCTGCTAATGATATACTAATGAGAAACTTGATAATTACTAAGTTTTTATTTTATTATTAACTGTATATTGATCTTTTAAATTATAATTGTATTGTTTGAGTTTCTTTAATATTACATTTAACATTAAAAATCTATCTCAGGGCACCTGGGTGGCTCAGTAGGTTAAGCATCCGACTTTGGCTCAGGTCATGATCTCATGGTTTGTGGGTTTGAGCCCCACGTTGGGCTCTGTGCTGACCGCTCAAAGTCTGGAACCCGCTTCAGATTCTGTGTCTCCTTCTCTTTCTGCCCATCGCCTGCTCATGCTCTGTCTTCTCAAAAATAAATAAACCTTAAAAAAAAAACCAAAAGAAAACAAAAGAAATCTATCTCAACCAGCAGTTCTGTAAGGAATTTCTGATCAAGACATGAAACAACATTAAAAATTACCTTCTTTGTTTGAGTTGTAATCATGAATTCATTACATGTTTTTTCTAAAAAAATTAGAACAAAATTAAATGCATTTTAAGATAGAAGACAAATTGTATAGTTAAAAGGGTCTTTAGTGTCTAAGTTATGCTGACCGTTCTTAGTAGTTATTCTCTGTTTTAAGACAGAAATAACCAGGGTTGGGGTTAGAGCCCTGTAAGCAAAGAATTAAACTGTGTCTATGTTGCCAGTGGTATTCTAGAATCAAATTTAAGAGAGTAAGAGAGCATTATATACTTTATTTCTCGTACTTATTTCTTTATATTGGGACAGATCATCTTGAGCTGACTGTAATTATCTGAATCAGTTAAATTAGAAATAAAATATCCTATGCTTCTTTGGGAATATTAGCATCTAGAAATAGTGAAAAGGTTAATATTCCTTTAAGGAAGTCTTAAATGTTTAGTTTATTTCCTCTTGGAAATATACCTCACTTTCATATTTTGGTAACTAAAAGAAAAATTATTTCCATTCTCAAGAACATCCTAAGCCACATTCTTATTATCAAATCCAAGTTTAAAACTTCCTTTTTATTCCTTTTGTGTCTAGATCTAACCTCAAAAGGAGGCTGTCTTCAAAATGCATACTTTCTAAACATAAAAAGTTTGTGGTGACTAAATTAAAAATTGTCTGTAATTTCAGAAGTACATAGTATTAAGGTTATTTTGTGAAGGAAAATGCATTTCTTTTCTAAAACGGTGATGAATGTTAATAATTACAGTTTTTTCTTGTTCATTTACAGGCAGATTAAGTGCTAATTAAGGCTCTTCTATGGTTCTGTTTGATAGTGTCAGTTGATTTTCAGTAATGTTTGGTTTATAATTACAAATTGCTGAAATGCCAAGATTATTCAAGTGTTAGGGTTTGGTTTTGTTTATTTTGCTTTAATTATTTCTATTTTAAATTTTAAGAAAGGGAAAAGATTCTGGTAAAGTTTTTTCTAAAAATATTCTTACCAGTAGTTCACATGCATATTAGATTTTTTAAATGTTGTCTATTTGAGTTCAGAGTCCTAGATTAAAAAAAAAATTTTTTTTTGAAAATAAGAATATTTTGTATATGTTTGATTATAAATTACATGTGAATGTGCATGTAGTGTGTGTGTATGAGAGAGATATTTTCAATCACAGTCATAGAAATATGTATGCCTCAGTTCCTATAGGCTGGACAACAGTTTAATTGTCCATGGATATGTCATTCAAAAGTCAAGAAGTTTGGGGCACCTGGCTGGCTTAGTTGGTTAAGCATCATCCAACTTTGGCTCAGGTCATGATCTCACAGTTCATGGGTTTGAGGCCCATGTCAGGTTCTGTGCTGACAACTCAGAACCTGGAGCCTGCTTTAGATTCTGTCCCCCACTCTCTCTGCTCTTCCTCAGCTCACACTCTGTTTTTCTCTCTCTCTCAAAATAAATAAACACTTAAAAAAACGTCAAAAAGTCTGCAGTTTACTATCTCACCGTGACTCTCTCTGTTTTCCTACACCTTACCAAAATTTTCTTTCTCTGTTTCTGACTTATTCTGGACTTATTTCATAGGAGCACATGGAAATTAATATTTTATGGTATGTGTGTTCATTCTCCCCAAGACCACCGCCAGGTTTAATAACACATTAGAAGGACTCACAGGACTCCATGTATAATTGTGCTAACAGCTATGATTTACTATAGCAAAAGGTTGCAAAACAAAATCAAAGGGAAAGGAATATGCAGTGAAGTCTGTTAGAAACCAGGGCTAAGCTTCCAAGAGTCTTTTCCTGGTGGAGTCACACAGGATACACTTAGTTCCTCCTGCAACAAACTGGGACAACATACTTGAAATGTTGTCTACCAGGGAAGCTTATTAGATGCTCCATGCCCAAAGTTTCTATTGGAGTTTGATCATGTAGGCACCCTCTGCTTAGCATGTACTAAAATGCCAAACTCCCAGAAGGAAAGCAAGTAGTTAGCATAAACCATATTGTTTTCATAGTTTAAGCACAGTGAGCTACTCTTATCAGTTAGGCTGGTGGGAACATTTCCCAAATCTGAAGTACCCACATGGCCAGCCAAGTTCCCAGATGCCAGCCAAGGAGTAAGCTTGCAAACCGGACATTTTAAGGATAGCACCTCAGGCCTGCTCTATTAATTCTTTTCTGTGCAATGTGCATTAAAAAGGAAAAAGAAATTAGGTAGTTTTAACCTCTCTTTGGAATATTTATTCATTACATTCTGCCATTCCAGTAGTTAACAGAAGCCATCTATGAAAGATGAGACGTTTTTACCTTGATAGATGTTTAATGCCCTGTCCCTTTTGTTGGTAGATCTAGTGGGTCTAAGCCACATTCCAATTGTCCCAGTGTGTACTCCAGCAATAAAACCACTTTATCTGCCACTGATATTTTGATGATAGTACTGTAACAGATGCCTCCTATTTCTTCGGTAATTTGCCAATTTTTACTACTTTATGCTACTTTAATAGGTTTCTGAAAGAAATACGAGGAGAGTAAATGTATCATCCATGTTTCATCCTGGAAGTGAATTACAACTTAGAAGTAAAATCTTTATATTCTATATGGGTAACTTCAGTACTACTTGAGGTGCAGAGTTGATATTTTTATTGTCATTTATTAACCTTGCATTTTGGAGACCAGAAAATTATTAAACTGTGATCACAGGATCATAGAAATGGGAGGCCATCCAATAAGCCATCCAATTCCACTCCTGTCATTGGGTGGGGGCAGAAGTAAACCAGCCAGGACAGGTGGTGCAAAAACATTCCAGAAGTGAGTGGTCCACACAGTTCTCAGGAGCCCAGGTTCGAGTGTAAGTAAACTGTCCAGAGGTCTTCCTAGATAAGCTGTGTTATGGGTCTTTTGCAGGTTTAGAGAACTATTTTAAAAGTCTTTCTTAAAACAACTGCTGAATCATCCTTTGGCTTTTTGTTAGCCAGATTGAACCATTCTACCTCCTTTGACCTTTTCTCAGAAAAGTTGCGGCCATAATAATTTGCCCTTTTATTAAAAAAAAAAGAGGGAATGCTAGCTTAATCCAACCCAGGCACTCTTTTTTTTTTTTTTTTTTAATTTTATAATGTTTGTTTATTTTTGAGAGAGAGTCAGTATGAGCAGGGAAGGGGCAGGGAGAGAGGGAGACACACAATCTGAAGAAGGCTCCAGGCCCCGAGCTATCAGCACAGAGCCTGAAGTGGGGCTCAAACTCATAAACTTGGGAGATCATGACCTGAGCCGAAGTTGGACACTCAGCCAACTGAGCCACCCAGGTGCCCCCTAACCCAGGCACTCTTAACCCAAGAGTCTGTGAACTTGGAAGGGAGGGGAAAATTACACATTTTATTTTCCCTAACCTCTATCAGAAATTTAGTATTTTCTTCAATTACTATATCACAACCTTAAAAAATGATTGGATAACTTTCAATGTAATTATTTCCTTTATGAGCATATGTGTTTTACTTTATGCATTTAGAAACATTTTGAGAAGGGATTTATAGGGTGCACTAAGGGCCCATGGCAAAAAAAAAAAAAAAAAGATTACACTCTCATGAGGGCAGTTGGCTAACATTTAAATGAAAGTTCTCAGGATTGTGTTTTGTTCCTTTGAAGGTAACAGTGACTAATGTACTTCATTTAATATACTGTTATGCTTTTAGGTTTATGTACAAGTTAATAAAGAAGCAGCAGATAATAAAAATGTAGCAAAATCAGCGCATGAGTTCTTTCAGCGATTAGAACTGGGTGACATGCAAGCACTTGAACTGTGGCAGAAATTTCGAGACCTGAGCATAGAAGAATACGTGCGGATTTACAAGGTGCCCACCTACTCTCCTGTGATGGGGTGCTCTTGACTGGGACTACTGAGGAATGAAGTTGCTTCCTCAGCTCCTGTTTTAAGACTAGATTTGTCATTCCATTGAAAATTAGGACCCACATATTATTATTTATGCTGAAAGTTGGAGCTTTGAAACAATCCTGTGAAATTCACAAACCAAATATCAGGTGGCACTCTAGTACTCTGTCAGTCTGGCTTCTCTTTTCTGTCTTCTGTTCATTCCTTCATTTTATCTTAATCGTTTTTTTCCCCTTTCATTTCTGTAGGCCTGTGTGTGATGCATATAAATTTGTTCATTTAATAAGCATTTTAGGGGGTGGGAGAAATACAACAGTGAGTAAAGGAAATAGAAGTACTTCTGTCTGGACTTCACATGCCAGCATGGAGATGGAGAGCAAATTAAAGACAACGGGGATTAAACAAGGACATACACAGTCTGTTAGGTGGTGATGATGCTGTGGAGAACAATGAAGCAGGGGAGGGGAGACAGAGTCTGCGAGTACGTGGAATGAAGAGAGTTTCATTAAAGAAACCCATGTGGCTGGAGTAGGGAAGCAGGATGAAGAGCTGCAGGAGAGGAGGTGGAAGAGGTTGTAGGATGGGGCATGAGGTAGGACATTCTCCAGAGCTGCCCAACCTTGCTTCTTGCTGTGATGGAGATGTTCCATGATGTGCTGCCCAGCAGCATAGCCATTAGCCACCGGTGGCTATCCAGCACTTGAAGCATGAGGAGTGTTCCTGAGAAAGTCAAGTTTTTTATTTTATGTAATTTGAATAGCCGTGTGGGCCCAGTAACTACCATATCAGCACAGTACTATTGTGAGGACTTGCCTGGTGTGGGAAGAGGTAGAAAGTTTGGTAGAGCAGAGGAGTGACTTCATCTAATTCTTACTTTCCCAATATGGGTGACAGACTGTAGAGCATCCTGTTTTGTCTTAGGATAAGATAATAGGACATTTAACTAACTTCCTTTCTTTTGTTTCTGAATCCTTTTAGCGTCTAGGAGTACACTTTGATGAATATTCAGGAGAATCATTTTATCGTGAAAAATCTCAAGAAGTCTTAAAATTGCTGGACAGTAAAGGACTCCTGCAGAAAACAATGTATGGTCAGGTTCCTGTTCTTTAGTAAAGTTATTTCTTTGGGAAAAAATGATATAGTCTCTCAGTAAGAACAACAGAATGTGGTGTGCAACCTTCCTGGCATTTTTTTTGTAGTGCTTTTTGCTGTTCAAAGTACTTTTCCACATAAGGTCTTCTTGCTGCCATGACAAAATCCTGGTCAGGTTGGAAGAAAAGTTGTTAATCTGCTTTTTACGTGTGAAGAAACTGAAGCACGGAAAGTACAAATGACTGGCCTAATGTCAGACAAGTTGATGTAACTGGAAAAAGGAAATAAAACTTACATCTTACTTAGCCCTGCCTTTTTAAAAAACCACATCCTGTTCAAAATGGATTTAAGGCATATTATGTAAATAGGTATAATACAAGCTTTTGAAAGAGTAAAATGAGGAAATCAGGAAGCGAGGGCAGAAAAAAATAATACAGAATCAGGGATGATAATGGTATATCATCTAACACACTGCCTTACTTACGGTAGATTTCTAATTTAGCTTTGAGCTTCCTGTCAGCCAGACAAACAGTACCAGTCATAGGAGCCCAGGCATCTGTAATACAGAAGCAAACCAGTTGCTTAGAAGCACCAGTTGTCATAGTACCAAAGAGCTTCTCTTGTCATCTTTACGAGGAAGACATGGAGAACACCAGTAATGTGCATAAGGCAGATTTTTGCATCTCCATCTACAGATTCTAATTTTTGACAAGGCAGGAAAGACAGTAACAAAATTCCATGGTTGTTTATTCAAGGGTATTTTCTGGCATGTTAAAAATTAGCCCAATATTAAATGCTATAATTTGAATTAGAAGAATATGATGTTTCACAGTTAAACAGCTGAAATCTCATTTTTCAACTGGATATGCTAAAGACTTTCTAAGTACCTTATCCAGAGCTACAGAGTTTAAAAAGATAGGACAACTAAATATTAATTATAGCATACCCATTCTTAATAAATTCATGGTCCCATTCCTTGTTTTTCTTCATTTGGTTATACTGCTTATTGCTACGTAAGGAATAAAAAATAGCTTCCAGTTTGCCAAAGATAATGTTATAGATATTATACTTTTAAAGGGTCTTACTCTATTTCTTAAGAGTTACCTGTTTGCATTTCTAGAAAAGGAACAGCTATAGTGGATCTTTCTGGAAATGGTGACCCCTCCTCAATTTGTACTGTAATGCGAAGCGATGGGACTTCTCTCTACGCAACCAGGTTTGTATGTAACGGGGGGGTCAGCATCAGAATGTATGTGACTTCATGTGCTTTGTTGTAGGATCAGTGCTAAAACAGTCATTTTATCCTCAAAGCTGTTACCAAATCCTAGTTTCTAAATCTCTTGTTCTCATCACTTCAAGATGTATTTATTGGGCGTCTATCTCTGGCCGGTTATAGTTCCTGGAAAGGTATAACATCATCAGAAAAGTGACTGAAAAAGATTATTTACAGTTAGTTAAACATCATAGGATTTCCACAGCCAATAAATACATTGTTCTACAAACTGAAAACTGAGGTACCTCAACTATAGATATTTTCCTGTTGTACATTGATAGGAAGTATATACTAGAAGGTGGTCATATTGGCTCAGTGGCATCCTCTGTAAAGATTCATCTACCATGCACATGAGTAGCAGTCCTCATGTAAAACAGAGTAAGGGAGAAGTAGGCCATGTTGCCTTTTTTTTTTTTTTTTTTTCCCCCCTTCCAACTCTCTGCATGACTGACTCCTAAGAACTGGAACTTACATCTTATCAAGCACATTTATATCTGGGACAAAGCCAATAGGAAGGAGAAGATAGGACCATAAAAAAGACACACAAGCAAACATGGCCATACTGAAACACTTTTGGCAAAAGGCTCTAGTGTCTTCCAGGCTAGAGTTTTATATTGGATCATAAACCCACTTTTATAGTATAATTAAAGTATTGATATTTATTGTTGTTGTTAACTACCATCATTTGTTCCAAACAGCTTTAAACAACCATCTGATTCTCTTACTCTCCATTAGAAAATTGATCTCTTTACTTTCTATTACTTTTTGGCATTTCCCTTTATCATTTCCATGTAATTATAGTTAGGAGGTGAGAAGAACCTGTGTATCTAAGAGGTACATTTCTTTTTCTAGATTAAAAACAATAATAGAAAAAATATTTTGTGTCGGCCAATAATTGCTGGACAGATTAAATAAAGAAACCTTGAGCAGGGGCGCCTGGGTGGCTCAGTCGGTTAAGCGTCCAACTTCAGCTCAGGTTATGATCTCACGATTCGTGGGTTTGAGCCCCGCGTCAGGCTCTGTGCTGACTGCTCAGGACCGGGAGCCTGCTTCAGATTCTATGATTCCCTTTCTCTCTGCCCCTCCCTCATTTGCACTCTGTCTCTCTCTCAAAAATAGATAAAACATTTTTTTAAAAAAGTGTCTGCCCAGAATAGAGGTTCCATGTCATTTTAGTGGTCCTGATTTGGTTATTTTTCTTGGGCTGTCATTCATTAGGTCTAGATTTTTTTGTATATTTACCTTAATACCTATATGTTTCTCTTTGAGACAATAATTGTGTTGTTTGCCATTTGCCAAAATGTTTAGTGTTTCACCTTGCTCGAACTTTGTTTCTGCCCTTTCAGTGGGTTCTTATAGAATACATCAATACATGTGGATGTGAATTAGAAGAATAGTTATAACAGACAGAAGTGCGGGAGAATACTGGCAAGAGCACAGGGTGAGGCTGGGGACCCTCTTTGGGCTGGGTCCCTACTTTGAAATGAGAGGCCTGAACTAAATGATCTGGCATTCTTCCTGCTTTCAAATTCAGGTTTCACAAACTCAGCCTAGAGCTTTTCTTTATATTCTTCTCTTTTATTATTTCATTGGATCAAAAGGCTTCTCTTTGTTTTGTCCTTGTGTCAAACCAAAAATATAGTGGGGGTATATATTTGTGACTTCATCTGGGGGATAATCTTCTATACTCGTGTTTCACCACCTTTGTTTTTTTGTTTTTGTTTTTCCATTATAATCCCTCTCAGGAGCCTTTTTAACCTGTTTTTCCTGCTTGCCCACCTCAGGAAATGTTTGATATCACAGATCTCCTGTGCATCTGTATGTGTTGTGTGCACATATGTGCTTTATATATAAAAAGAATAAGATTCTGTTGTCCCTCAGGAGCCAGTTTTTGCCTCCATTGTGAATGCATGCTCTATGTTCTGTTAGGATTAGGAGATGGGCACTAATGATGTTTTGATGCTTTCCATCATTTCAAAAGATCTAGGACCTTTTAAAATCTTCCCAGTGTCATATATTGTTAACCAAAAATAGCTTTGATTTTCAATTTCAATATTTTCATAATTTTGACTTGAAATTTCACTGTTAATGGTTTGGTTTTCATTATTTCATACTAGATGCAAACTGAGTTTTTTATACTTAGAGAAAGGAGAGTTGAGTTTTTGTCAAAGGACTTTCTGGTCTTGTACAGTGTTTTAGAAGGTATTGTTATCACTGATTCAAAACTTTTGAAAGTCCTTGTAATAGGAGAGTAGCTAAAAGATATCTGTTAAGTTACCACATCACCTGTGTTTTAAATATGTTCTTTAAGAAGGTATACTGCCGAGGGGCGCCTGGGTGGTGCAGTCGGTTAAGCGTCCGACTTCAGCCAGGTCACGATCTCGCGGTCCGGGAGTTCGAGCCCCGTGTCGGGCTCTGGGCTGATGGCTCAGAGCCTGGAGCCTGTTTCCGATTCTGTGTCTCCCTCTCTCTCTGCCCCTCCCCCGTTCATGCTCTGTCTCTCTCTGTCCCAAAAATAAATAAACGTTGAAAAAAAAAAAAAATTTAAAGAAGGTATACTGCCGAAAAGTGACACTCAGGTGATTGTTCCCAGTACAGGCTTGATGAACAAATCATAAAACATTTACCTACAGACACTTTGCCTGGAGCTGCTTTAGTACTACTGCTTTTCCCAGAGCTTATATTTACTTATTTTGTTGTTTTTTTTTTTTTTTTAATCTTTCCACTGTACTTTTATTATTGTTGCTTTTCCCAAAGCTATTTTTGTTATTACTTTATATGAAAGTATGGTACTGGGATTATATAATCATAAGCAGTATACCCTAGACTGTGGAGTAATAGGAGTTCTTAATTAGAAAAACCTCATTACTATTAAATATGTAAAGCAAATTTTTACCCAGATCTGCCTAGTAACTCTTAATTTATGGCCATATTTTTCAGAGATCTTGCAGCTGCTATAGATCGAATGGAGAAGTATAATTTTGATACAATGATTTATGTGGTAAGTAATCACAATAAAGAACAAAAGATTATGATCTTTATCTCATGAAAACTGCAAAGAAAGAAGTTAATTGCCATGTTGAAAAACTATGGAAAAATAATCTTGTCAAAATATAGAAGAAATTCAATGTTAGGTTTATTTACAAAAAATTTTTTTATGTTTATTCATGTTTAAGAGACAGAGACAGAGCACAAGCAGGGGTGGGGCAGAGAGAGAGGGGGACACAGAATCTGAAGCAGGCTCCAGGCTCTGAGCTGTCAGCACAGAGTCCGACGTGGGGCTCCAACTCACGAACTGCGAGATCATCGTAAAAAAAAAAAAAAAATACCCAATTCAGGAAAATAGTTACGTGAAATGAGTATGTGCAGGTTACCATAATGTACTTTTTAAAAAATAACTATTTTAGGGGTGCCTGGGTGGCTTGGTTGGTTAAGTGTCCGACTTCGGCTCAGGTCATGATCTCACGGTGCGTGAATTCGAGCCCCGCGTCGGGCTCTGTGCTGACAGCTCAGAGCCTGGAGCCTGTTTCGTGTTCTGTGTCTCCCTCTCTCCCTGCCCCTCCCCTGTTCATGCTCTGTCTCTCTCTGTCCCAAAAATAATTAAAACGTTACCAAAAAAAAATTTTTTTTTAAATAAATAAAATAAAAATAACTATTTTAATAATTTAAGACAAGTTTTAAAATAGTACAATTTCCATGGACCCTTCACCCAGCCTTCCCCAAAGAAAATATCTTAATATAACCATGGTATTTTATCTATACCAGGACACTGACATGGTAAAGACCTTAGTTAAAACATGTACTTGCATGTGGGCCTAAATATATTGGGGGGAGGGGAGAGATCACATAACCATCACAACATTCAGAATAAAGAACTGTTCCATCATGAGGCAAACTCCATCTTGGGAATCACTTAATAACCCCCCCTTCCCCCTAACCCTAACCCTTGGCAATCATTGCTCTGTTCTCTATCACTACAGTTTTGTCACTTTGAAAAGGTTACATAAGTGGAATCACAGTAGGTAACCTTTTGAGATTGGCTTTTTTCACTCAGCAATAATGAATGCCCTTGAGATCCACCCAAGCTGTTGTGTGCATCCAATAGTTTGTTCCTCTTATTGCTGAGGGTTATTCTGGTCTTTTCTTCCCTTTCCTTCCTCTCCATGTGCAACCTCCCTTTCCCCTAAGAAAAAAAAGTTGCCATTATATACCTTATTAGAACTTAGCTTTGTGCTTCTTGGAGATAAAGGTTATGATAGCTGAAAGAGAAGGAATTTAAATAGAATATTCAAGAGATTAAAGTTCGTATTTCCTCCTGACTTGTGGAGTGCTACAGCTCTTATTATCTTGTAGAACACTCAGCTTAGACGTTCTTCTACTGGCATCCTCTCTGTGTGCTTATTTAAAATACATCAATTGACAATTGTTATTTTGATTTATGTCTAACCTGTTTTTGTAGGTTAACTTATCACTGTTGTTTTAAATACTTTTTTTCCCCCCAAGACAGATAAAGGGCAAAAAAAGCATTTTCAGCAAGTGTTCCAAATGCTGCAGATCATGGGATATGACTGGGCAGAAAGGTAATGTCAGCACAGTTCTTAACTGCCTGCTTAGGATCATTAAAGGTTTGTTAGGTCAGCCAAGTCCCAAAATATACCAGGTTGTTGAAAATTGTTATTCAAACTTCATTTCTTTGTTGCAACATATTTGCAGAGCAGATTTGTTTTTTACATTAATTTAATGTCCTTATTTCTAACTTACAAACATTTAATATATGTGTCTTTAGTAGACATCTGTTCTCAGTGGCTTGATGTCCAAAATTCGTAATCCCTCCTTTTATTTCACAAAGGCAACTAGTAATTTAATCACATGCTAGTGATTATCTGTACAATGAAGCTGTGTGTTTAACATCTTTTGTGGCATATAACAAATCACATCACATTTTAATTTGTTAATTTTGAAAAGCCCCTCTGTGAGAGTTAAAGTTCAGACTACTCTCTGAAAGGGTATTGTTACACACTTTAATCATCAGTTCTTTTCTCCTTCATTTCAGGTGCCAGCACGTGCCCTTTGGAGTGGTGCAGGGAATGAAGACTCGAAGAGGAGAGGTTACCTTTCTGGAAGATGTTCTAAATGAGATTCGATCAAGGATGCTACAGAACATGGCTTCTATTAAGAGTGAATTCACTTTATTGTTACAGTCACAACTTACATGCCACTTTTATGTTCTTTGGACTTCTGTGCAGTGTGATTTGTTATGACTGTCCCTCTCTTAATTTTCATTAACCTTGTCAAAAATAGCTTGCACTAATTAGAGGTGCCAGAGGTTTTAGACTTGCTGCTTGGTGTCATTCAGTTCAGTAATCTGCACTGATACAACACTAGGCCTCTTTCATGGACAGCTTCAGCATTGTCATTCCACTGTTAGAGTGCTTATGTGAAATTCCTATGTATGTAATAGGAAACAGGTCACAAGTCCTGGTGGCTTTGTTTAGCCTTGGAAAAGTAAGCACCAGCTTTGTCTAATGTCTCACAAGGGATATTCATGAGAAAAACGAATTCATGTTTCTTTCCCTTTAATGTAGGCAGGGGAACATCTTTATCCAAGGTCAATTAGCCCAAATTAGGGAAGTAAACTGCCCACTCTGAACCTGTTTGTTCTTGCTGGCAGCGTATGTTTTTGGCAGATTTTATCTCCTTCAATCCCTGATTCTGAATGGTTTCATGTAGGTTAAAGATAGCTGCCTTTGTCTGTTTCAGCTACCAAAGAAGTGGAGAACCCACAGGAGACTGCAGAGAGGGTCGGGCTTGCAGCACTCATTATTCAGGTCTGATAAGACTGCATCCTGTGAGACCCTTTTGTTTGGTACCAGAACAAATCCCAGCACTAAAGGTTTACTCTTGTCATTTTAGGACTTCAAAGGTGTGCTCTTGTCTGACTATCAGTTCAGCTGGGATCGTATTTTCCAGAGTCGTGGGGACACAGGCGTCTTCCTGCAGTACACACATGCTCGCCTCCACAGGTGAGGGGAGTCTGCAGGGATGCATGAGCCGCTCTGTCCTTCCCAGGGTGAGGCTTGGTTGATGTGCTCCTAAGATCAAAGTCATTTTTGCTGGGCTTCTCAGACATCTGTTAAAAACTAGTTAGAAGTACAGTGGATCACCTGTTAGGTTTGGGTTTTTTTTGGGGGGAGGGGGGGTTAAAATATTTATTGAGCACCTATAAAGAAGTGCTTTTGTATGTTACCTTATTCTGTACTCAGAATAACCCTGCCAAAGAATATACTCCCTTTTTCCGAGGGAAGTAACAGATTTAGGAAAGATTAAAGCATCATGATAAACTTCAATTAGGTGTCCTTGGATGACTTGTTTAATCCGTTGTTTTTAAACTTTTGATAACAGTTTGGAAGAGACTTTTGGATGTGGTTATCTAAATGATTTCAACACTGCTTGTTTACAAGAACCACAGTCTGTTTCCATTCTTCAGCATCTTCTCAGGTATGGGTTTTCTAGTATTTATCTAGTCTTCATCTGCCTAGTGAAATGACTGTTGGGGGTTTGCTGACCACTGGAGTGAATAAGCCAGTAACTAGCTCTTACCCCGTCCCCCTGCCACCAGACAGCAAGCGCTCTTCCTGGAGGTATGACCAAAAAGCAATTTATCTGCCCTTTGAGGGCAGACAGAGGACATAGTCAAGGTCAATCCTTGGGACTTAAAAATATTATCACTGCTGAATCAGCACAGGTGCCTAACATCTTCTGGGTCATGGTATGAGAATAGAAAGCCTAGTAAAGCATAAATTTTTAGTTTTGGAAAAGCTCATCTTCTCACCCTCTTCAATAAGTGATAGGGAATCTCTGCCTTTGTACAGCTTCCATGAGACCATAATCCTTCATTTGCTACATGGTTTTAATTCACAGTCTCAGATGAATATCTACTTGATGCCCCTACACTGGGCAAGAGACCATACCTTTGAGCTCTTTCAAGCTTTGTTGGTAAAGCCAGACTTGTCAGGAGATACTAGTCTCTGGAAAGGGATGTGGGTAGTTAACAAGGCAGTTTTCTCTAATTGCCACACAGTGGTCAATGACTCTTTCCTGGGATCAGGAGTCAGTTTTCTCACATTTGGCTAATCTGGTAGGAAAAATAAGCCAACCTGGTTTCCTTGGCATTGAGGGTAGACTCTGTTTGTTAGTTCCTAGATTATGTTCCTAAACATGGCTGGAGGCTTTTTACATTCAGTTTAACAGCCATGATTTGAGTCCTTGTTCTGGGCTAGGCCTAAGGGATATCAAGATGATTTAGAAAGTACCTGCCATCAAGGAATTCGTAAGAAAGAAAACTGCGCCTTTACCTTCAAATGCACCCAAGGTCCTTTTTCATATATACCTTCTACTCTTAATGATTTCAGGTCAGCCTTACATCCAAGATCTTAACAGCTTAGTGTAATACGTGCACAGTCTTCCTCTGCCAACTGCTGCTGTCATGTTTCTTTTAGGTTCGATGAAGTGCTTTATAGATCATCTCAGGACCTTCAACCCAGGCACATTGTCAGTTACCTTCTAACTCTAAGGTACCTATAACCTTGCTGTTTTCAGGTATTAAAGACCTCTGAGACCTGATCTGAAAAAGGACCTTTCTTCTAAAGTCTTCCTATAAACAAACCCCCCGGCCTAAAAAATGAGGTACTTTAAGTTATAGGAATTCTTGCTTCATTTTTGCAAATCAGCAATTAATATTCATTTATTCATTCAGTGATATAAGGTACAGTCATTGAGTCTTTTTAACAGGAACTAACAGCTTTGTCACGGGTGGTTACATAACAGTACGTGTGTGTTAAGATAGAGTGAACATAAGAGACCATGTTAGGGCACTCAGCCCAGCCTTGATGGATCAGAGAGGGCTTTTTGGAGGCGAGGAGTTGATATTAATCAGGAGAAACAAAGTCGCAGAAAAGGAAGAAAAAGCCCAGAGTTGAACAAGAAGATGATACTGAAGGAACTACAAGCATAGTCCTGCGAGGGGTGAGAAATGAGTGTGTACACACCTTTTTTGCACGTATTAGGGCATTTCAGCTTATTTTCAGGGCAGTGGAGTCCATAAAAAGATTTTAAGCATAGAAAAATTAGCCAGCCAGAGAATAGAGAATGAACTGGAAGGCAGATGAGTAACACTTGAATAGAAATCTCATAGTAGCTGTTTCAGAATTCTGAATAGAAGTTGAGTATCTTCTAGAGCAACAGCTGTTATCTTTCTATAAATCTATTTAAGAAAGGAAATACTTGTTTTTACTCAAGATTTACTGAAATCAGATTTATTGGGGTTTTCTTGATTATCCTTTCTACCTGCCTTCCCCAGATTTAAATAAAAAATTTTTCCCCTTTCAATTCTACATAGTCATAGAGAAATAAGCCAGAAAGTCTTATTAAATGTCAGTTAAGGGGCACCCGGGTGGCTCAGTCAATTGATCGTCCACCTTCAGCTCAGGTCTTGATCTCGTGGTTCAGTTCATGAGTTCGAGACCCACGTTGGGCTCTCTGCTGTTAGGCTGTCAGCATAGAGCCCACTTTGGATCCTCTGTCGCCCTCTCTCTGCCCCTCCCCTGCTTGCACTCTCCCCAAAATAAATAAATATGTATTTTTTTTTAAGTCAGTTCATCATTGAAACAATGTCATAAGCATCATTTCTCTGGCACATTGTTGTATTTGCTGCTATACCTGAACAGAAAAGATGCTTTAAAGAGTGGCCCATGTTTGTGCAGTGTTTGTATTTGATAGCTAGTCTCTACCCCACCTCCTCACCATACAGAGGGGGAAGTCCAGGCCACATTATACCTTTCATCCTAAAGATGCCTAAATGAGAAAAAACTATTAGAAAGGAATCCCCTATCTTTATAAAACACTGAAATCACCACCTTAAGAACTTAAGGTATTAGGACCAAAATCTAAAACTTTAGTTTAATGTGTTTTACTTTTCTTATTACAGAAATGCAGTGATTCAAGTCTCAGCTTTCCAATGTTGGATACATCTTTTAATGGAGCTAGGCTTTGATTTCTTTAAGTTGAGGCAATAAAATACCAAGCTTGCATGTTACAACAGGAAATGACTTCTGGTCTTCATTTCTCTCTTCCCGTTTCAGTCATCTTGCAGGTATGGCACACAAGACACTGCATATAAAAGACAGTCCTCCTGAAGTGGCTGGGGTACGTTAAGTGTTTTCTGTGTTATCTTTAGCATCCTCAGGTTACTATTACTCTTTCTTGTAAATGTTTCTAAAATAGCATCTCGTTTAACTGCAGTAGTATACTTATAGACTCAGGTGGTACTTAGAATCGGGCTATAACAATCAGTGTTTTCAGATTTTCCAACACACTGGACTTTGAAACACATTTTCCTAAGAGGAGGAGTTCCCCATATCTGAAGCTGGGCTGTATAATGATAGTGTCACTCCCACTCCCCAACTCTTGGGGTACCAGTCATACTATAAATTACAGGATGCTAGATTTGTTTTTCCTTACTGACAGCAAATCTTAGGGCACCCTGAGATACTGTTCCTACTTTAAATTAGAAGAAAATTAAAATTACTCTTAAAGATACTCTTCTTTACTCATGTATTGTTAGCCTGTTGTTGAACATTAATCATCCTTTGTTTTATTTTCTAGGCCAGACTTCATCTTTTCAGAGCTGTGCGTTCTGTGCTAGCCAATGGAATGAAACTTCTTGGAATAACACCTGTATGTAGGATGTAATTTCTAATTAAAATAGCAGCTTTTTAATTAATGAATTCTAGTTCTCTATTCTTATATGCTTTGTTTAGAATTTAAACTATTCTGTATCAGAATCTATATTTTATTAAGCCTAAGTGATTCATCAACTTATTAAATCTTTATCTTAAAAAATCATCTGAGTTCCCTCATGGTCCATAAGTACTAAACAGAGTTTTGTAAAACTAACTCAAATCTTCTAAAATTCACTGCGGTCTAATGGGGATAAAGGATTAAACTCCAGCTTGAGGTTTTTTACAGTGTCATTCTTCCAGAAACTGTTCTCATAACTGAGATTACCTAATGTTCACATCAGATAAAACTGATGAAAACATTTCAATTTTCTTATAATAATGGCTAGTTCTGAATCAACTTAGGGACACCAAAATTAAGCTTTTTTGCTAATACAGATGAGAACCACTCCCAGAGAACAGATCTTGTGCTTATCTTTCGTTAATCAGTATGGGTAGGTAACTCTTATTATGTGAACTTGGGAACTGAACAGATTTAAATCACAAGGAATTACTTACAGGTATGGTACCAGGATCTTTTTGTAAAAATTAGTCCATTAGTTAAACCATAATTTGAAATGGAGTTTCTTCAACTTTTTTTTTTTAATGTTTATTTTTGAGAGAGAGAGAGAGAGAGACGAAGTGTGAGTGGGAGAGGGGCAGAGAGAGAGGGAGACAGAATCCTAAGCAGGCTCCAGGCTCTGAACTGCCAGCACAGAGCCAGACCTGGGGCTCAAACCCACGGACCGTGAGATCATGACCTGAGCTGAAGTCGGATGCTTAATTAACCAACTGAGCCACCCAAGTGTCCCTGAAATGGAGTTTCTTACACCATTTCTTTCATGTACCTGCATATCAACCAACGATATTTTGCATGATTTGTTTAGGTAACGTGGGATGTGCTCTGTTTGATTAGTACAGCTATCCTCATCTGCCAGTATTTCCATTCAGGTCTACTATAATTTATCCTAAATGTTGCTACTAAAAATCTCCTGAATGCGAATGACAATCATCTACTTTTACAATAGAGAAGCAATTTAGCATGAACCAAAACTTCTCTAATTGAATGAACACAGTTTTATATTGGCAAGTATGGTACACTTTCTTAGTCCTAGAAAAGACTTATCCATGCAGTCTCAATTTTAAATAAAGGTAGCTTTCACATTACTATTTTTTTTAACCTGTATTTTTGAGAAAGCACAAGTGGGGGAGGGGCAGAAAGAGGGGGGCAGAGGATCTGAAGTGGGCTCTGCGCTGACAGGCTAACAGCAGTGAGCCTGATGTGGGGTTCAAAGTCATGAACAATGAGATCATAACCTGAGCCGAAGTCGGATGCTCAACCGACTGAGCCACCCAGGTCCCCCAATTACTAATTTTTACTTAATCAATATTTCCTTAGCACAAACTAGCCATGGAATAAAAATGTGTAACTGGAACATGTTTTTCATGTCCTATGTCCTTCTCCACTTGTTGGGAGAAACGTTCCCCCTTCCCAGATCTGTGGTAGCCACCTCAGTATTTGAACTTTGAGTGAAATGACACAGGGACAGTGATGGTTAGAGGCCAGTCTTTCCAAAAGCAGTTCCCTGAAGACTGTTGTTTATGATCTCCTATAGCTTAGAGCCCTAGTTCTGATTGTAGTCTTTCTTATAAACTTTTTTTTTTGCTTCAGGTTTGCCAAGAGTTGGTTTATATGTCATCAGAGAACCCTAACTGATACAGTTCCAACATAGAAAAAATGAAAAATTTAATGTTTTTGGTGTTTTTTTTTACATTTTGCATTATTTTAATAGTCATAATCATGATACAAAAAGTGATCACAGATTGCATATAAATAAATTAAGTTTATTGCTGAATTTCCCCATTAACATTATAGAAAAATTTTTAAAAACACTAAAATTTCACAAATTATTGACAGCCCAATAGTTTTAAACATACTTTATAAAAAAAAGTACAAAAGTGACATTAGAAATATTTTTTGAAGAAAAGTAGATCATCTAACAGCAAAGAAATACGAATCCAGACAATGAATGGCACAAATACAGCACTTAACAGGAGTACTCTGTCACCACCCAGAAGTCATTGCCTGCATTATGAAATAGATTCAGTTTGAGAAGTTAAACATTCAGTTTGTTTCTGAACTAGCCTGGCTTGCTTATGCCTCTCTTTTGTAAGAAAAGAGCTAGCTGGGTCTTACTGCTGCTGGGATGAAATACTGTACATGAATTGGAGAACAAGGAGGGGTCATCCTTCTCCCCTGGTTCCTGAACAAGAAAACAGTTCGTACAGAAATGGCTTTGGCACTTTAACCCTTAACCTTGTCCCAAACCTTGTTACTTGAATATTGTATCCTCACATGATTTTTTTTGTAATATCATACCCTCTCCATACTTTTTTATATACATTATATATACAATAAAAGTCTTTCATTCTGAAACAAAACAGGTTGACCCAAAACAGGTCACATTAAATCTTTGTAGCAGTTCATTCAGATAGCTTTCTTCTTAATTCTTATGACACAGTTAACATGTTTTTGTTTAAGCTACCTTCTCGGATTGACTTAAGGCTCTAGTTTAATGCAAACAGTTTTTGTCTTGGTAAGAGTCTTTTGAGGCTGAAATCACACACCACTAACTCTCTCTTTTGAAGTTGTTTCTCCCTGTTGGATGGATGTAGTGTCTTGTCTGGGTAATCCATAGAGATATATAGAAACACATACAAGAAGAGTACCCAGAGCAAAGGTGGGTGCTGAAAAGAAAAAAAAATTAATCTGTATCTGTGTCCTTAAAACTATATAACAATAATCCATTTTAAATTTTGAAATCTTTCAATTACAGGTTTATACCATTAGATCATATGGAAAATACATCTATCAGTGTTCTATTTTTATAGATGGTAAGGTTTACAGAGAGAATCAATTCTGGCTCTCCACCCCCAAAAAAGGTACAAAGAGACTGTACGCTTTGTGAGAATACGAGTATGCCTGTCCCAGACCACTGACAAAGAACATACTAACTTCCCTATATGCTAAATTTTTAAAGGGTTTTTTTTTTTTTTTAAGAGAAGCTTAAGGAGGTTCCATGCTGAGCCCAGCATGGGGCTCAATCCCATAACCCTGGGATCATGACTGGAGTCCAAATCAAGACTCGACACTCAACCAACTGAGCCACCCAGGCACCACCACCCCGCACCATATGCTGTAATTTAAAAAAGAGCAGTGGAATGTGGCTTTTCCATGGTACTAGAAACCTGTAAAAATTTAGAGTAAAAGGTAGTTGAGCACAAAATTTCAAGTAACCAATGACTCAAAATGATTGAAGATTTCTGAAAAGGAGATGAAATGATGATAGTACAATTTCATTTTCTGCTAGCCTTGTCTTTTTTCTTTGTTTTGGTCTTAATCCCGAAAATCAGGACATAAATTACAACTTGCCCAAACTTGACAAGTAAGCATTTCATACATAAATGTTTATGTCAAAATCTATGTCAAAACTGTATATTGTTCCAAACTGAACCAAATTCTGTATGGAGTACAACAGCACAATCTTATTAGTTTTAAAAATGGCTTGCAGAGAAATGACATCAAGCTATGATTTTATTAGTTCACTCCTAACAAGAGAAGACTAGCTTTCCCGTCAAAAAACAAAAAGGGGAGGTAAGTTAAATCTAAATAGAAAACTGGAAGATTGGTAAGATGTTCTAATTGAAAAGCATTTTTTTTTTTTTTTTTACTGCCCCCAAGTATTCCTTAGGAGAAAAGGCATAAGGATTTGTTGAGCATAAGGATCAGAAGTACAATTAAAAGTTCACCAAAATCAGGTAAGAAATGTATCTAAAGGAGGGCCTATAAGTAGTGATACTGAAATGGTAAGTGGTTGGCCTTCTACAGAATACTTACTGGGTGCCAGGCACTATTCTAATCACTTTACCTAAAACAACCCTAGGAGACTATCCGTCCCACTTTACAGATGAAGAAACTGAGACACAGGTTAAGTAACTTCCCCAAAGTTGCACAACTAATAAATTTTTTTAAAGATTTCTACAAGCTTGATGTTCCTCTATTTGCATTTATAACAATAGTCAATTTTAAAATCAAACATAAATACAGGCCAAGTCTGTTTCTTTTACTTATTGCCGATATTTCACAGATTGTGGTATAATTGATCAGTAAGGAAAATGACTATTACAGCACCCTGAAATGTTAAATAATTCAGGATCCAACTTAATGCTGGGTGTAGGCTAGGGAAGTCTATATTAGAAGGACTAGTACAGTGATGGTGCCAGAGTGCCAGCTAGCATAATGAATTTTGTACTAATTACATATTATAAGAAACAAAAATACCTTTATGCCTACGTCCAAAAGTTAGGAAGGTACAAACTAAGGGGGACATGAAAGAATTTTCTGTTCTTTCCCCCTCATAAAAAGCCTTGTTTACTGTAACTGCACTGCTGAAAATAATCATTCCCTAAAGCCCTTGTATTTCCTTGCAAACCTAATCATACTATATTCACCAAGAAGTATTCAGGTTGTCTTGTATCTAAAACCAGGGAAACAGGGAGGTCCTGACTACAGAAAGGCTCTTTGTAGTAACTCAGCAGCCCTGTCACTTTCAGTAGAACCAGTCCCCCTCAGCTAAGCTCTAGGACCATGGAAACAACCTCAGTACTGCTGACCCACATCCCATAAGATAATGAACTTCTGCATTTGTAGAATAAACTAGTAACAAAACAAGGAATTTATGACCAACTGCCATATTTAATGAGTCAAGGAAGTGAGAAGCTCTTTTAAAAACTTAAAAATACAAACTAAGACATACTTATCTGCAACCCAAATAGCATCACTGAAGCGATGGTAGAAAGGACAATGGCTGCTGCTGCAGAAAAGCCCTTCATGATGTTGTCTGTGTACTTGACCACAACAGAAGTGTAGAGGCCTCCAACACTTGCAAGAACTTGTATACAGAAAGAAAGAAAATCTTAACACTCAAAAAATGAAACATTCTATGATGGTGAAGCAGTTTTCACCCCCAGAGATGCCATACTAATTTACCTAGGAAAATACGATTTTCCTTAGAAGCAGCCATCTGAGAGAGTTTGTACTAAAATCAAGTAATAGTTCCTATAAAACAACATTGTTTTTCACATGCCCAGAGGGCTATGTGCTCTACTACTAAATTGTACACATTTATTGCTAACACATTAGATACTACTGATCGTGAAGGCAAAATTGCTTTGGGAGAGTTACACCACAAAGTCAGTCAATAAAACCAAAATTACATTTTCAAACGTGTTCACAGTAGCAGAGGAACAATTTCAAAATGCTATCAAAGGCTTAAAACAGACTTTTTTTTTTTTAAAGGATCTACCCAGAACTTGTTAATTCCTGGATACTTACAGATGACAAACCAGACATAATATGTGTAACCATAGAAAAATCCTTTTTCTTTAATTTCAGCTCCATCTGACAAGTAGACGCCAACTAATGTCACAACAATCCCTGATAGATACATTTGAATGTTTCTCACCCAGAGGGAAGTGTCTGAACTCTTTAAAACTTTTTCAAAGTACACTCCTGGAAGAAAATTAAATATGCAAATATGAAAGATATTAAAAATTAATTTAAAATTCCCTTCATTTAGACAATAACCTAGACCTATGACAATGTAAAAGTATATGATTCAGGGAACAAACACATTTTACATCAAGTGCACATTTATTATGCTGGTTGTGACACATGGCATTTTGACATCAGCAACATGTATTTTTATAGAGCATATAAAATTAGTAACTAAGAGGGAATTTTCTAACCCACATACAACAGGAAACTCATAAATTATTAAGAACAGTTTCTCCCATTACTGTAGCAGTAAGAGCACAGAAGCTTTCTGATAATGCCAATAATAGACTTCTTTTGGTCAGCAGGAAAACTATACTACTAGAGTCAATTATCTTAATCCTATCCCTCTAATATCTGCCTAGTAATGAAAACTCCCAGCTTTACAAAATAACCTATATAATAACCGCTTGGGATTTTTTTCAGAGTAACACAACCAAAATAAAATTTAAATAGAAATTGCTGAGTGAAGCCATATTCCTTTAAAGCAGGGTTCCACAAACCAAGTTCTTAAACAATGTCAGAAAAACCATGAACTCGCTCACTAGATAATACATTTTGGATGTATGTGCATTTTCTTGGGGTTGAGGGTCCATAGTTTTTCCAGATACTCCAGAAAAGCAAATGACTCCTCATCATACACACGCAAAATCACATACCACTAAGTTTTATACTTAAAGTGAACACATGGAGACATTCAAGGATATTAAAGATTTTCATTATAAACACATTAATTACAGACTTAGAAACTGCCACTCAAAAATTATAATGGAAAAAAAGGCTGTTTTTGGTGAATGTGTGCTAGAGCCAGAGAACGGAAAGAAACATGTAATGGTTATTCCTATTCCAATTTTTAAAAGTCTAATAGCATATTTCTTGGGTAACTCAATTTTTATTTCTAATTTGCTAGTTCCTAAGGATAAAAATTTAGCATGATGCTATCATTAAATATATGTCTCAATTTAGATCTTCCCCTTTTATCAAAGATCTTTTTCACAAGCAATATTTCACTTCCATATCCAGCCTACTTTCCTAGTCAAAAATAAAAAGAATCCTAACTCTTGAAATAGCACAAATAAAGATAAATAATAAAAACCTAGCTATGACTAATATACTCTTTACTAAAAAAAAATTCAGGTTCTTCTCTATTGGAACTATCTCTAAAACATATGTTGCACTTAACATTCACACCTTGTCTCTTCTTGATTAAGTGGAGGATTGTTCCTACACATATGACTCTAGACTTCCATGCTTATTTTATGTTAATGATTTCGGTTCTCATCCCTCCCTTTTTGGCTGTTACTTTTATGTATTAACTTTTCGGTGAGGTACTCTCCACCCCACCCCCTTTTCTCCCTACTCCATAATTCCTAATCTATTAGAGGAAGAACTTGAGGGTAACAGGAAAAAACAGATACTGAGCTGGCAACTTCATATCCCACAGCAAGAGGATATTGCCTGAAGATAGTGCCACTTCCAGGAAATGGAAAGAGGTACTGGAGCTTTCTAACTGCTAACTTGTCCATTGTTAGAAGTCTTTGTTCACTTTGGGTTCTTATCTGGACTGAAGATGGTCAACATGACCTAAATATGTTCTTAGATTACTGCAAGTATGAGTAATGTCTTAGGTCTGAACCGAATTAAACACTACCACCCATTTGCTGAAAAAACAGCTGACACAAAACTATAAGTAGGAAGATAAGCCTTATTGGGAATAAAATGGTTACAATAAAATAATATAAACTAGATCCCTATTAATGTTTTTTTAGAAAATTTAACAGAATAAAGCAATGCATTTATGATTTACCTGCAAATCCTGAGCACAATACAGCAATAGCTATAGCGCCAAACCCTAACAATGGGTTCTGTTCCACCTGCAATAATGTTTCAAAAGTTATTAGTGACTCATAAATAGAATTCATCCAAGAGATAAAATGACTACAAAAATTTATGGTTCTATTGAAAGTATGTGCCACATCAGACACAGCTAGTCTACAGACTAAGATAGAAACAAACAAAAGGCCATCCCAGAGATTAACCAAAGCACTTAAATTAAAAAGCTGTCCCTCAAATTGCAGCCATGCTTACCGAACATGTGTGCCTATTCCTAATAACAGGCAGGCAGTCATCCTAGCACAGAATTTTGCACTGTCAGCCTGCCTCTTAATTTTAACTTCTGCCACCACCTTAACTCAAGCCCTAATAGCCTCAATCACAGAAATGGTAACAGTTTAACTCTTGTATTTCCTATCACCTGCAAAATGAAGTAACGACTTTAAGATTTCCTACTTTACTAAATTTCTATCAAATATTAATAGTATCCTTCTATGTACCAGATATATTGTCTTATGTACTAAATGAATAAAAATAAAAGATGATACACAGCTGTGGTTCTTAAACAGTTCATGGATGAGAGAGATTGACAGATGTATATAATCATTAATTCTCTGCTAAAAGATGCATGTATATGTGCCCTAATCTATTCCAACTTTATTTTCTCTTTCTTCCCTAAACTAACCCTTAAGGAACTTTCATCAGCCTTTCCTCAGAGATAAATACTATCTCAGTAGTAACACTGAAACTAAAGAGTAGAGACACATGACTATACTATGACAAGCACATACCTTATTCAAAATAAACAGCCTGATATAGGTGAGTATTGCTTTATGTTAAATGTCTGAGAGAGAAAGCTTGGTCTAAGTGATTGAACTGTTATTGTTATTAATGACTTACTAGCAAAACGCGTGAACAGATGACATAAAAAGTTTAATGGTCATCACTAGAAAATAATATGGCTTCCCTAAGAATGAGACATACCAAATTTCCTTATGAAGGGATTCCTAGTTAGTATGATGAGGGGAATTCTATAGAGACAGTATATTTTGGAAAAAAAAAAAAAAAAAAAGACAAATCTACATAATATTTTGTGAACAAGACAGAAATGTATTGAGAATAGTAGTACAATTCTATCCATAGCTGAGTGAATTCTCATACAGCAAAGTGCTAATGGAATAAAATCAAGCTACACCAACAACCAATACCAGTTTGCTAGGCATATGAATGAGCCACTTTAGAAACATCCCCTAGGCCCAGTCAGGCCTTCAGTTGACTGCTGCCATAGCCAGTATCTTGATTGCAACTTTCAAGAGACCTCAAGTCAGAACTACCTAGCTAAGGCACTCTCAAATTCCTGGCAGACGTATAAAAACTATGAGAGAAGAGAAGGATTATTGAGCAAAAGGGGGAAAAGTACAGCTAAAGAGAGATCTAAAAGCACAGCCACAGAACTCTGGTCCTCTCCTGTCTAAATTTTCAGGGAAGACCCAAAGACATATTTGTCGAATCTGTAGAACACTAACACTCAAAAACCTAATAATGGATAATAAGATCTGGAAGGACCTCAAATGCCTGAATGATGAACCAAAGCTAACAAGATACTAAAATAAATACATCCTGCATTTTGGTTAGAAGCAGCAGCCCACTGCACATGACACATTTGAAATAAACTATGTTGTGTGAAACTCTGTGTATAATCAGTTATTGAATGGCTATCTTCCCTCCACCTCCCCCCAGAAACTTCTAGGCTAATTTAACAAATCTCTAGTATTCAGAGCAAAAGAGGTAATTCACAAGTTACACTTCATCTGCTCAGTCAAAGGCTAGAGACAGTGTGAGGTTTTAAGACTACTGAGGAACAATAATGAATGCATCTAGAAGAGAAATACAAGGAAGTATTGGGGCAAGAGGAAGGGAATCAAGAAATCTCTACAAAATACAGAAAGAAACAACAAGGTTGTCTCAATGGGGAGGAAAAAAAAGACCTGGAGGGTGGTGATGTGACACTCCTCAAATATCCAAAGGATTATCCTATAGAGTTGGTAGGGAACTGAGTTCTTCTGACAAGAACAAAAAACAGAGGCAGTTACAAGAAGCTGCACTTTGCTTAAAATATGAAAGAACTTTTTGTAGTGGTCCAAAAGTAGGAAAACTGCCCAATCTGCTTTAGCTTACTAAGCTTTTCACATACATTACCTATGTACGGTGGACCTAACATCTTTCCTAATGGTGTGAAGTGTTAAAGTTCATATTTAACTTTTGTTTGCCTTATTTCCCAATAAATTTCTTTCTCTGCAAGGTCTACAACTATATTAAATGTGCAGTGTATATTTGATCAGTGTTTTGAAATGCCACCAGAATATAAGCATGTTTAAATATGTAAAACCATAAACATTCATTGTAACCTCATTTTCCAGGGGTGGGGGGGGAATCCTCCATGTAGTTTTAGGCTAGAAACTACTTAAAAAATAACTGACTTCCTACTTGCACACGCCCTCTATACATCTCCAGCTGCCTCATACCTCTAGGAGAACCATAGTCTTTTATTTGCTAAAAGGTGAAGAAAGTATTCAATTGTAAAGGAAACCTCCTGAAGGTCATTCACTAGAGTCCCACTTCCTAATTCTCTTTGGGAAAATAACCTATAAAGTATACAACATATTTTTGAAAATCAGGTAGGTACCATTTAAGTCTTAAATTGAACATTAGAAAGGCACTTGGCCCTGTTTTAGTTATATCAGTAAAAACACTACTCCCCCTGTAATCCCTATCACTGACAGTGGGAATGTGTGCAAAAAGATTACAAGAAAAACTTTCTGAGTTCAGAGAAAGGATGAAAATTAGATGAAGAAAACTTCCCTTGGTGTTGGTGTTCTTGAGAAAAATGCCTAAAAGAGGCCTGTAAGTTCTGAACATACAAACTGTATGAAATTGGCACAATTTTAGTAACAGGTTAGCTATTAACTGTAACTTTAAACAAGTCACTTCTTGAGACTTCAATTTTGTGGAGTCTGAATGGCTCAGTCAGTTAAACAACTGACTTAATTTTGGCTCAGATTGTGATTATGGGATCGAGCCCCATATCGGGCTCCACGCTGAGCGTGGGGCCTGCTTGGGATTCTCTCTGCCCTTCCCCAACTCGCACACACATGAGCTCTCTCTCTCACAATAGATGAATAAACTTTTTTTTTTTAATGTTCTGGGATTTGTCTAAAAAAAGACTTCAATTTTGTCATCCATAAAATGAAGGGGATTGATTACATTAAGGTACCTTCCATGTCTAACATATTTTATGCATATTCTCCTCCAGAAAAATAGACGAAGGGGGACAATTAAGTTATATTATTATTAATAATAACATTATGATAAGGGAGTAAAAAAAGCCTATCTGTAGGGCAAAGATTATTTTCAAAGAAATGTACTACATTCATCAATGTGATGGTCTAAAGTGTTATAAGATTAAGGAAGTGTTCTCTTTTAGTTCTGGTGAGCGTTTTGTTTCTTACCACAACTTTTTTTTTTTTTTAATTTTTTTTTTTTTCAACGTTTATTTATTTTTGGGACAGAGAGAGACAGAGCATGAACGGGCGAGGGGCAGAGAGAGAGGGAGACACAGAATCGGAAACAGGCTCCAGGCTCTGAGCCATCAGCCCAGAGCCCGACGCGGGGCTCGAACTCATGGACCACGAGATCGTGACCTGGCTGAAGTCGGACGCTTAACCGACTGCGCCACCCAGGCGCCCCATCTTACCACAACTTTTGTAGCTTGAGCTGGTTTCCACTGTACAAGTATGACTCCACCACATAGCATAAAAACTGAAATCCACTGTAATTTGCTGAGTGTCCTGTTTAACATTAAAACAGTACATAAAGCAGTGCAGGGAATCTTCAACTGATAGGTCACCTACAAACAAAACAATAAATTAATGAACTCATAACATTATTGTCTGACACAATATTTGATATTAATAGAATTATGGAGAAAAAAAATATGATAAAGGGCTAATAAGTCTTTTCACCATAAAAACTTTTTTTGTTTTTTAACATGAGATTTTACTTTTCACTTTTCATTGTCATCTACCTCCACTTACCTGGTATACTGCTGCATCCAGATTGCTAAGAGCTAGGAAAGCCATATTGTTCTGAACAGCATACACTAATGATGGCACACTTAACTTCATCAGTTCCTTGGGGCTCCCCAAAACATTTTCTCGTAAAGACGCCTTGAATCTACCCAGACTACCAGTTTCTCTTTGAAAACAAAAGGGTGAGAAAGGGGTGAGAAAGAAAATTAAAGAGCTTTTTTTTTTTTAAGATTTTAAGTAGTCTCTACATCCAACTCACAACCCCAAGATCAAGAGTTGCATGCTCTATCAACTGAGCCACCCAGACACCCCAAGAGCATCCTTTTGATAAGAATCCTTCACACAGAATAGCCATATTGTGTTAGGTACACTGATGTAACTTAGCAAACTTGTTTTTATAATTGTCAACTAATTTTAGATTAAAAGAAACATAACTGCATAAAAGAAAAACAATTACAAGTTCTATTTGGGAAAATAAGACAATTAGGTTTACCATCATCAACCTCTGGTCAAAGCTCCAGCAATTTTTAAGTATATTTATAAATAATGACATAACAGGAAAACGGAATTGCTAATACTACCTATAAAATTTTAATGTAATCCCTCCCACCTTAACTGCCATTACATCAAATTCACCCTCATTATTTTAATTAATTAGGTTGTGTATCTATTTTTAAAGGTTTTTGTTTTGTTTTTAATTACAAAGAGTCTTTGGTAGTTATGGAAGTTACTTGGGATAGGGATTGAGCAATTTCAAGTCAATATTCTCTGTAAATCCGTTAAGTGCTTATGAAGTATAGATAATACATTTAAGCATATTCTCATAAAGCTGAAGTACATATCTATAATTTTTCAGGAAATAATAATTTACTAATATCAAAACTACAAAACTATTTGTAGTGTATATAAGTTTGCTACTTGATGTATATGCAAGCTCTTAACTATTCTTATTTTTTCCTCAGGAGGAGCTAGCTAATATGGTTCATATTTCCCCTGTTGAAAATTTCCTGAAAATAAAAATAAAACAATGTTTTACAATAAGAACCAACACCAAAAAAAGGGCTTTATCAAAAGGGTCCTAACTGCAATTCATAATATCCTAAGGGGGCAAGACCATATTTCTGCAGGGAGATCTGTTTTAACTCAAAATTAATGACAGTCACAATGAGTCTTTTACATGTTTGGTCAACAAAATCAATGGTAACTGTATTTTCTCATATTTAAAGACTGCAAAAATAATTCCCCATGTTCTGAAGCGGGGGCAAAAAGTCCAGTGTCGAACTGATCACCTGTGCCTGTGCAAGAAAATGCTTAAGTATGACAGGAAATGTGGCCTAGGTCATAAAAACAAGACACCCTTCTTAGTTACAGTTCTTCCTCTGCTGCCAAATTCAACATGCTCCACACCACAATGGTAAATCTATCTGCTGAAAAGTAATGCACACAGCCTGATGGGAGACTACAAACTCTATCCAGAAGAAAGAATACCAAAAAGATCACTACTGAGAAATTCTACATAGTGGAGTTCTCCAGGTATCTGAAGATTGGCTCTTCAAACATTTGACAGTTTTTTGTTTTTTTTTTTTTTTAATGTTTATTTTTGAGAGAGAGGGAGACACAGAATCCAAAGCAGGATCCAGACTCTGAACTGTCAGGAGAGCCCAATGTGGGGCTTGAACCCATGAACCATGAGATCATGACCTGAGCAGAAGCTGGATACTTCACCAACTGAGCCACCCAGATGCCCCCCACCCTTTTTTTTAATGTGACATTCTTCTTTAAATTACTTTTTAATGCAAATCTAAGATGTCCTATATACTTTCTCAATACCTTATACCCTATTTTTTTCACAGAATGTTTTCCCTCAATTATAGAGTTGAATAACAAAATTAAAGAGAAACATTAAAATAAAAGCAATCACAGGAGTACAATTCAAAGAGCCATCTTAACAAGATGATGTATTAGAAAACAACATTTTCTTTAATGTCCTACTTCTCACTAGTAAGCACAAAATAGCAAAGATATAAATCTTACAGACTATGAAATACAGGACACTGCTTTTGTACTTTTACTTTTAATGCCTTCCAAAATACTGACATATATTGCTATATCTTCAGTGTGGTTCTCACGGAGAAATACCCATTTGTCCCCATCTCCCACATTCTACCACCATGTCCACCGATCTATGCTGGATTCCCCAAGCTCCAGTATAGTGGCTAGTTCTTTCCCTAATCCCTTGCTATGGGCAATGCCATTTTACTTCCACCCCTTAGAGATACCCTAAGCCTTCAATGGTATCAGATGAATTATTGCCTATCCAGAAAAGAGGTGGCCATTTTATCACTGGCTCTCTATGCCCTATTTGGAATATGGACTACATAAGTATCTAATTACTATTTCTAATAACCACCATGCCTGCACCAATAATCAAAGTTGCTGTGGTCCCTTTTCTCCCTGGCACTTTTGTCCTTTGTTACCTTGTCCATCACACTTTCAGCTTTCACATAAAAAGAATGACCTATGAGAGGCACCTGGGTGGTTCAGTCGGTTAAGTGTCAAACTCTTGATTTCGGCTCAGGTCAAGATCTCATGGTTGTGAGATCATGCCCAGCGTCAGGCTCCACACTAAGCAAACAAGGAACCTATTTAAGATTGTCTCCCTCTCCCCCTACCCTCTCTCTCTCTTTCAAAAAATAAAAAAGCAGGGCCTGTGTGACATCACCAGCCAATCTGAGTACTCCTTCATTGTGACAAACCAATAAAGTACACTGGGTCCGGACTGACTTCAGGTCTTTGGCTCTTCTGGCTCTCTCATTTGTGTTGGGTGCTTAGGAGCTACTATTTATTCACTGCCAGGAAGGCTTTAGTATATTTTTCTGGTTCCTTCTCTAATACAGATATTAGAGAAACCAAGCTATTTCAGAATGCTAACTACTGGAAACTTCAAATTTCACTGTAGTGCCTTACAATTATAGCAATATTATATAATTATAATAAGATATTTCAAAGTTAGTTATAAAAAATAGCAGAGAATGCTAAAAGAACTTATAAAAGAAAACAAAAGCTCTACAATAATAGAAACATCAAGGGTTCCTGGGTGGCTCAGTCCATGATCTCAGGATTCGTGAGTTTGAGCCCTGCATCAAACTGTCAGCACAGAGCCCGCTTCAGACCCTGTCTCCCTTTTTCTCTGCTCCTCTCCCACATGCACACACTCTCTCAAAAATAAACATTTTTTTAAATGTTAAAAAATATATATATCAGAAAGAATAAAGAGGTTTAGGAGGCATAAGAATATTTATCAGATTAAGTCCTGTTTAATTTAACAACAGTATTAAGAATATAGCTCTTAAAAAAAAACTATAGCTCTTAAAGCTTGCATTTAACTTTACTCACTAAAGTTAAAAAAAAATACATAACTGCAATATATCTTCCAAAAAACACTAGTAGTCCTATATTATTTTACTATTAAGCAAAAATACTCAATCTAAATATATTACAGCCTTGAATATAGTATAAAAAGGAACACATAAAAACAAAAGGCCATTTTTTCTTCCATTTTCCTGCCCTGTTATTTTCTTAGAAATCAAATCCTTTATTAAGGACCTTTTGTTAAAAACAAATGTATTACATTCTATAAATGACATTGCTAAATAAGAAAAAAAGCATGTATAATAAAACACATACAATTTTTTTTTAAGAGATCATCTTTCCCATTAAATTTCTTATTTAAAACAGTTTTTGATTTTTATCACTGGAATAGAATCTGTGTGCAACCTTTTGTTACCTGAAAAATTTCTGAAGCTCCACATTGATTGCAGAGATTCCGCTGCTTCCTCCCCCCCTAAAATTTCCCATCAACCGGCTGAAACCAATTCTTTTTGACCTATGTTTGGTCAAAAGTAGGCCTCATTCTTCCAGTTCCTGATCTGATGAGAACTACTAGGAGGCATAAAATCCTTGGCTAATTACCAAGGCACTGTGCAAAATGAAACACAAGTTACTTATGAGCTTAAAGTTAAGAGAAAGTTAAATCTTGTTTATAAATTTATTATCTGCAAAGTTAAATATGATTAACTCACATAAAAGACTTTGAGAACTAGATATAAAAACCAATAATGAGGTCACTTGAGGACAAAAATACCTATCATAAGGTACATGACTTTTACATCCTCCCTATGACCCTAAACCCATTACAACATGGGTACAAAGAGGCAGTCAAAAATGTAAACCCCAGAGGAGAAACCGAATAGGGCTATATAATCTGTAAGTATTTGACAGCTACATTATTCTAGATAACACTACAAAATAATTAAAATTATAATTTTAAGTAAAACAATTTTCTCCAGTCTTATATAATGTATTTCATTTATTACTAAAAACACCCAAAATATATGTATATTTACACATCCTGCTAGATTTATTGAGTCTTTATAGACTGTGGTGAAAAACAAACAATACAAAGTTGACTCTGGTCTAAGACAATGCAAAAGTGTTTGCACTTCCATTTCTTCATACCACAAATGACAGGTTTAAATCAAAACTGTCAGTTTTAATCGCCGTGACAGCATTTAGTAAAGAATACAGCTAATCAGTAATTTTCCTGTGACTTGTAGTAGTAACTAGTTTGAAATACCAAAATATTTTAAACGCTATACTGTTTTATGTTTCAGACTGTAACTTAGAAATTGGTAATTTATAACTCAAAGATTCTTAAAAACCAACTTAATCACATATAGAGCTTTTGCAACATCAAACTGCTCACCTGTCCCCTCCCCCAAAAATAGGATTTAGTAATTTCCTTTTCGATTTAAAAGTGATCTGACTGTAATCATACATGTGCACAGCAGTGTAGTAAGAAAACAGTTAACTATACCTTTGTTTAGACTGCTAACAAACCAAATGCCCATCCATAGAGAATAGAATATATAGTATATCCATATAATGGAACACAACTCAGCTCTTAAAACGAATGAGACAGATTTATATGTACTGACATGGAACAAACTCTAACATAAAACATTTAAGTGGAAAAAAAAAAGTACAGTGGAACACAGTGTATATAGCATGTATACACACATATTACATATAATTGAAACTCACCAATTAGTCCATGTAAACTTTAAACATTTATCAAAGTAGCCATCTATTATTTCTTCCCGATAC